CCGGGCATGGTGGCGAGGAGTAGTGGAGGTGGGTGAGAGGCCTCTGGCGGGTGGCAGCTAGGGTTTCCCCCTGGCCGCCCATGGGGGAAAACGAGGGGGGGAACACCCTTCACCCGACCCCAACGCTTGGCCTTAAAAATTGGGGAGAATTTCACTTTCCCGACCTCTGCATCAACTAGGGATGCATATAGCCTTTTAAGTATGAGTACTAGGATTTTTAATCTCAGTTACACACCGAGCCTAGTCCTCAATGATAAATGTGTGAATACCATAAAAGTCTGGTCCGCAATATTTAAATGTTAATCATTCATGTGTCCAACCTGAACTGAGATGACCAACACCTTGGATCAATCTGAACTGAGCTCAATATTATCTTGTATGAAATAATTGACACATGTCCGACTTCCAGTTAACCGAATATTATTACTTTGCCATGCCATGCCATGCATGCAAATTACTCCCTTTGTACCGAAATACTTGTAGCTGGGGAAACTAGTACACAATCTGTCTCAAGTGTCCACCCCACCCATTGGCCGGTGCCGCAACACGACTTTCCATTTCCAACATCTTTAGGGCCAGAGGCAATGTCATGTTCACACTTATGACTTTCGATACGCTCATGGCCGTCGGAAGCAACAGCGGCAGCAACAATATCTTCTATCTTGCATTCTAGGAGCAAGTACAATAGGGTGACGTAGGCGGACTATAAGACATGCCACATCAGATTTGTGCCTAGGTGGAGGAGAGAGGAGAGGAGAGAAAAGAAAAGCGGGCTACAAACTTACACCCGGTTGTAGCACGAGCTCCAGCACCCATTGTGAGAGAAAGTGATGGGTCATATATTAATAGTATAGCATACTAGTATGGCTAACTATTGTATGAATGAGCTATTAGGTTGGCTACAAGTGACCCGGCAACTTCGTATAGCTGGCCGTGGGCTATACTATTAACCATGCTCTAATACTATCAAGCCAGGATGCAGAGGAGATTGTTGAGAATACCGAGGAAACGCCATGATCAGGGGAGGAGGAGGAATGCATCGGTATGATTAACCCTGCAGATCACAACGTCAACCGACCGGTAGATTGTTTAGTATCACTAGTTAGCGTGCACGTGCAATGCACGTATTCCTTACGAAAAAAATAATATTTTCATCCTAAATATTCAAAAATAAATAAATAATAAGAGTCTAGTTATGTACTACTAATAATGAATGAATTATTTTCTCTGCCACATGATATAATGATTTAATTTGTTGTGTTGGAGGAAATTTCCTATACAAAGATGAGTCACTAACCCTCACAAAAAAAGAGACACTAACACATGCAAATTTTCAATGCAAAAAGTATATATTAAAACTTTTGAGGGGTGTTATTGCACTCTATAGCTTTAGTATTCTTCCACGGAAGGTCGAGTTGGGTGCGGCGTTCGATGGGAGAGAACCGCGCAAGCGCAGGTTGATCAGCGATGGGAGCTTGGGGATACAGTGTTGAAGTTTTTTTTTAACTTGGGGGGAGACAGTTTTGGAGGAGGAGGTATGGTGATGAGAGGAGTGTGACACGTGTTTCTTGTCTAATGTGTCTTTTTAATTACGTGATATAAAGTGTGACGATTTGCTTCCTAATGAACGTGTAATTAAGGTGTAATGATTCTTAATTACGGAGTTCCAGAAATGATACATCATATATGGTGTGATTATTTGTTTCCTAATGAAGTTGGAATTAGGGTGCATTGGTTCCTAATTAAGCTATTGTGAAAATGATTAAAATTAATAAATAAATATGTGAATTTGATATGATACAACATTGGGACAATCTGGTCCATTGATGAATGATGGATATGTGGCTGAGATCTAATGTTTCTGCCTTAACTCGTTTGTTTAATAATAGTGGAGATAATGAAGTTGGAATTAGGGTGCATTGGTTCCTAATTAAGCTATTGTGAAAATGATTAAAATTAATAAATAAATATGTTAATTTGATGTGATACAACATTGGGACAATCTGGTCCATTGATGAATGATGGATATGTGGCTGAGATCTAATGTTTCTGCCTTAACTCGTTTGTTTAATAGTAGTGGAGACTAGATAAAAGGACCGTGCGTTGCAACGGGGGAAAAAATATACCACACACTCTTAATTTACAGAAAATGGTCTATAATCTAAGAATTTGCAGCTACGGCCCAAATAAAGATGGTCCTAACTTATAAAAGTGCAGTTTAATATTCTACAAATGTTCTATTTCAACACGGCTTGCATGTAGATTTCATCAATGCAAAAAAAAGGACAAGTGGTCATGCATTTATTCATGTCATGTTCGGAATGGGGTGTTGTTACGGGCGAGTAAAGAAAAACGACAAAAACAAACGATGGCATATTAGCACACTATGGAGACATGTGTGCATCAATGGCAGTTTCAGTTTAAGAATCATCAATTTAGGGTAACTCTTGAACACTTTTTCACATGCATATTTCTTTAATACATGAAGAGTTGTTAAAAAGGTTGTTAAAAAGATACATGATTTTTTAATCATAAAAAGAGATTATTTTTTTGTCTGGAAAAGAATATTTTTGTATGGTCTCCTGTGGATGCAGGTACCTACGCCCCCATTTCATCACTATTTCTTGACATACATGTCATAGATATTGGTCTCTGTTTCATCATTATTTTTGTCTGGAAAAGAACATGTTTTTCATGCATAGATATAAATTAAAAGCGTGTGTTACCTGCGCCCCTCTATCCCTTCTAACAGGCCCTAGCTACAAATTCTTAAATTATAGATTTTTTTTGTAAATTAAAAGCATGTGGTATTTTTTTTCTCCCCTTGCAACGCACGGGCCTTTTAGCTAGTAGATATAGATATAGATTGGGATTGTGCCCCAACATAAGAAATAGTTACCGGCCCCAGTTTATAGGCAAAAAGCAGGGCAGGGCAGGGCATCGGAGCCACTCTTTCAGGCGCGCTCTTTTTCTTTTTCCTTTTTTTTTAGGCGAGCTCTTGACATGAAGGAACAACCACATGGCTTCTCCTGTTGCTGCTCCCTGGCCATGGCCATGTAGGGCATTGGAACCGCCGAATATGGGAAAACTGCAGGAGTCTGGAGCCTGTGGGGAGGCTCTTCTGGTCTTGGGGAGCTCTCGTCTCTGTCGTGGACGAAATGATGTCTGCTTGCTTCGGCCTGATAAAAGCGTGTGAGGATCTGGAGCCTGTGGGGAGGTTTTGCTTCTCTTGGGTTTTGCCCCCACCACCATGACGATTTGACAAGCCAGGGGGGGAAGCCGGCCCTCAAAGCTCATCATGGCTGGCTTGCATGCATGGCAGACAGGGTTGCTCTGTCTGAGTTCTAGGTTTGAGCCGGCGTGCTTGTTCCGGCAGGTATGCTCTGTTCGTAAATATAAGTTATTTTAGAGGTCCTAATATAGACTACATAGGAAGTAAAATGGGTGAATCCACACTCTAAAGTAGGTATATATATATTCGTATGTAGTTTGTATTGAAATCTCTAGAAAAACTTATATTTAGCAACGGAGAGAGTAGAAAAGAAAAGGCACAATCAGCGACTCCAGTCCAGTCCAGTCCATCTTCTACCCAAGCCTGGATTATCCAAGAAAAATGCAATGACGAAACCAAACCGCAGCATCTCCAGATGCAGCTTTCCTACCTTACAGTTACATGGGTGCGGTTCATTCAGTTTTAGGCGATCATGACAATCAGAAGATGTAGCACATACATCTGCAAATAATCTAGCAACCCAGACACATTCTTCAGGTTTTTTTTTTTTTTGGAACAAGGACACATTCTTCAGGGTATCAGCAGATAAGACATAAGAGGCTAACAGGGCTGACTTCAGTACGGCCTCACTTTCCTGTGTACAAAGGTCTTCTTTTCTCTGCAAATGCAGCTAGACCTTCAAGGCGATCCTGAGTGTGCAGAACTTGCTCGTAGCACTCTTCTTCGACAGCCAACGCAGAGGACAGGTCTACCTCCACCCCTTCGTTGATGGCCTTCTTGGCCATCCTTATCGCTAACGGACCCTGAAAGAAAGAACTATTATCAGAACATCTAGAATACCGCTATACTCGTAGAATTAAATTCAAGCAAGTTTGTTATTGCAGAAAGAACTGGAAACTGCATTTCCAAGGAACGCAGATGGTCACAAATTTGCAAAAAAAGAACTGCGCCACAATCATATCAAATGAAGCACAAAATATGCTAAGAAAAAAAGTCGTACTTTCTGATTTATCTCCCGGGCAAGTTCAAGAGCCTTTTGATAAGCCTCGCCACCAGGAACGCAGTAGTTCACTACCCCTGCATGCAAACATACAAGTCATGCCGATTCTTCTAAAAAGTGTTAAAAGCCTCCTTAAGTAACAAGAAGTCATAACAATAAGAAAGCATAACAAGTTTGGCCTTACCCATATTTACAGCTTCTGTCGCATCAAATCTACGGCCAGTGAATATCAATTCCTTTGCTCTGGCCCTTCCAACAATCCTTGGAAGACGCTGTGTCCCTCCAGCTCTATGTATTGTAAGAGGTAGATGTTAACAGCTGAAGCATATCATTTCACTGAAGATATTCCAGCAATTCTCAAACCAGTTCAGATATGACATGCTATTAAAGGACAATAATCCACATAACAGCTTTGCATCTTTTAGGATGCAATTCCTCACTTGAATTTGTACTAGTATGGAGTAATGCACCGGAGTGAATATTGCATAAAATGAAAATGTTTGGCGAATAAATGCTAGGTCAATTTGTAAGGCGATGAATACTTGATAATTCAAGACAACGTCAACACACATAATTTACTTACAAAAGTAAAGCGCCATCCTGGACACATACCCAGGAATAATAGCAAGGCCGGTTTCTGGCAAGCTGAATGTTGCACTCTCCCCTGCAAAACATGTTGAAGAAATGCATTCAACTGTTTGAAAGGAGGGGGCAAAACTGGTTTCTATAAGATGTATGAAACTTGCGCACTGTAGAATAAAAGCAATACCACATATACGAAGATCACATGAAAGAGCCAACTCTAGCCCACCGCCAAAGGCAGCTCCTTCAACAACAGCTATTGTAGGAATAGGGAGTGCCTGTTCACACAAGAAAAACTTTGCAAGTGTTATGAACATACTAGATAAAATAACATGTACGATGAGGCTTCAACGAACCATTAGGTAGTAATAAGGAAGACGAGCATGCATACAACTTGAGCAGCGATACACAGTGCTTTCTCTCATCACCAAAAAGCATAATATTAACTAATACACTGGATGTAGCATGCTATATTAAAATGTTTCATCCTGTTACATACCTCAAAGGATGAGAATGTAGCTCTCAAGGTATTAACAAATTCCCGGACTTCAGAAGGGCCCATTAACCTCCTTTCCTGTCAAATGTACCGTATATTGCGATCAGGAAATGGATTGTGATCAGTAGAACACAAAGGAAAAGATAGAGGAGGTAGAACCCAGGCATTCACCATTTTTCTATGCAACGAGTCTGATAATTTTAGTTACATAACTTATGATGTATGCCACAAAGTAGCATCCATTTCAAAGTTCAAACGAACTGCTTCACAGGCAAATAGCACCAACACAACAATTTTATTAGTTGGTATTGTGCTGATTAGAGTTTACAGTGCTCCAGTGATCCACCTGATTAAACATGTTTACATTTCTCTTTATAAGTCAGAGCCTGATCTTAACCTCATAATTTATCAATTTATTACTTACACAAGGTGCAAACCTGATGAATGTTTTGGCATCAGCTCAACTGACATTCCTTGAGAAACTAGCTCATCCATATGTTGTCTGAACCCAACCAGGACATGTCTTATTTCTTGAATCAGTTAGCTCTTGACTGACCTCGGAGGATTAGACAATAATTCCATAGCACTATTCACCAGTGTACCAATGTGGCAATCTCACACATCTACTGTATTATGTTACTAACCAAAGCTTGCCAGCTACCCTATCATATCAACCTGGCATGAAATTAAGTACTGGACCACTTACATCTTCAGCTCTCTCGATTTCCTCAACAGGGATCAAAATCATAAGCCGACGGAATGAATTCTTGTAACTAGCTAGAGCACAAATTTATCAAACATGCAACATAAGTAGGAGTGGTGGAGGTGGCACCTTGAGGTCAGCGCCCGCGCAGAAGACCTTGGGCACGGAGCTCGCTACCAGTACAACGTTGGCCGTCGAGTCGGCCTTCACCTTGTCCATGGCGCTCCGCAGCCCCTTGAGCATCTCCTTCCCGATGGCGTTCCTGGCCTCCGGCCGCTCCAGCCTCAGCTCCACGATCCCTGAAGCCAACCACAGCTTGAGAACACAAATTCCAGAATCCCCAAGGAGATGCGGTGGTCAGCGACGGACCGGAGTCGGGCGCCGAGAGCTTGTGGAGGCGGACGGGCTCCGACTGGGAGAGGATCTGGAGGGCACGGGCGAAGAGGACGCTGTGGGGAGACGAGGAGGCGCCGCTCGGCGGCGCGTGGCGGGCGGCGAGGTGGCCGGAGACGGCGAGGAGGCCCCGTAGGCTGCGCATGGTGGAGAGTCGGGCGAGAGTGGGAGACTGGTGCTGGGCGGAGGAAAGAGCAGAGGCAGAGTCAGCAACCGCCGCGCTTGGATAGACATTGTGACTCGTGGCAGGGTCAGTGGTACGCGCGTGAGGAGACGGCCAAATTCCCCCGACTCTTCCGCAGCTCCGCTGTCGCTGTCGCGTGAGACTATAGGCCGCTGGAGATGTGACCAACCGGAAACCCCGCCGCCCCGCCGTCAGGAATGCGCGCCGCGGCGCCGTCGGCCGGTCATCCGGAGAACACGCGTACGCCATCGATAAAGCCACGCAGATTTTTTTTAGGGGAAAGCCAAATTTTATTCATCAAAGATCACAATGGGTGGGATACAACTCGAATAATGGGGTTGGCCTAACCAGAGATGGTGCCCCAGACCGAGACTTTTTTCGATAAAAGACGATTTTATTAACTCAAAAATGTAGCATCAAGTGGATACAAAGCATTATGAGCAACACCCCGCCTCTGCATAACTAGAATGCACACAGCCGAAACACCAAAAGTCTGACAACCAGAAAAAAACAAAAACCGATAAATCGGCAATAGTAGAGTCCTATAAACCGACACTGTGCCTATGTCGAAAGGTGAGATGGCCCGATCCGGAGGTTGTGCTGCCATCCATGTTGGGTAAAAACCCCCGTAGCCACCTGCTCCAATCGCGTACACACCGCCTTGAATAGCGGTTGGACCTCCGCTCGTTGTAGCATAGACCACATACGAAGCGAGTGCGTACAACGGAAAATAGCCTGCAAAGGAGAAACATTTTGGTCATTAAAAACAAAATCATTTCTACATAGCCAAAGCGACCATAGTAAGGCATACGCTCCCACCATTAGTAGCGTTTTGAACCTATTTGAAATACCGTCCAACCAATGACCAAAAATATTGGCAACACCTGTGGGCGGATATAAACTTGACGCTATTTGGATGACTGACCACGTAGAACGTGCAAAGTTGCATTGGAAAAAGAGGTGTATGATGGTCTCATCATAAGTACAAAAACAACACTTCTTACTCCCTTGCCAATTGCGCCGTGTGAGGTTGTCTTTGGTTAGAACAACTCCCCTACAAAGATACCACATGAAGACTTTAACTTTTAGTGGTATCTTCGATCTCCAAATTTTCTTATTATTACTCACCGGTACCTCAGAATGCGTGAGCGCACAATACATAGAGTCTACGATGAAAGACCCTGATGTAGTAAGGTTTCAGCAAAACACATCCCGCCCTCCTGTCAGGCTAATCGCATCCAGACGGGACAAAAGATTATGCCATGACATAAGTCGGGGGCCACTCAAATCCCGCCTAAACGAAATATTCGGGGGGATGAACTGAGCACCTGCGCAATAGTATTATTCTTATCGCGAGCAATGTTGTACAAGGCTGGATATTGTTCTTGGAGAGTGGCACCGCTTAGCCAGATGTCTTCCCAAAAACGAATCTCCGACCCGTCCTTTATCGTGAAAGACCCAAAGCGAAAGAGATGTTTCTTTGCCGCCATTAGGCCAGCCCAAAAGTGCGAGTCACCAAGTTTCCAATATGCCTGAGACACCGCCTTGTGTGCGTCGACATTAGCCGCACGACCTTCAAAACAAAAATTACATTGAAACGTAGAAGCTCTAATATTAATCTCATGTATGATAGAACCACTCCTTCCTTTGCCTCCACATGAAATATCAGCCACCGTTGTTTGGAGTCAGATGCAATGAAAAGGTTGTGGATGTTAAGATCTTCCGCCAGCGCCAACGCCTCCCGGCAAGCGATTGCTTCAAGAATTGTTGGGTCCTCTAGGCCAGCTACCACCAACGCTGAACTGCCAAGGTAATTGCCTTGCCCATCCCTGCATACTGCCGCAGCCGATCCACCCTTCCTCGCTCTCACTCCAGCATCTACCTGGATCTTGGCAAAACCAGCAGGGGGAGCCTTGGGGCGAATCGCCCATGTCTGCTCTGTTGCTGGAGCTCCACTTGTCGTCGTCGGGCTTCTCATGGTGATCATATTGAGTTCATCAATGAATCGCTTGACAAACGAATTAGTTGCTTGAGGCGATTGGAAAATTCCTTCATGAATAGCCTTGCGACGTGCAGTCCATATCGCCCAGAGTGTGACCGCCAGCAAAACAAATTGATCATGAGCAAGTGACTGCATGAAGGTGAAAAGCCACTGCTTGGCCTACTCAATGTTCCCAATGAAACACTAATGAGAGTACCTTGGGATGCCATCATATATTGGGAGTTCGAAGAATGGGGCTTTTAAATACCTCAAAGATCGGTTATAGAGCAAAGTGCAGGGCTGGGTGGAAAACACCATGTCATCGGCAGGCAAGGAGGTTTTAATCAAGTCTATGGCTCAGTCAATTCCGGTGTTCTCATGTCCTGTTTTAAACTTCCAAGGGGATTATGTGAGCATCTCAACATGCTCATTAGGAGGTTCTGGTGGGGAAGCAAAGAAGGCAAAAGAAAGCCTCATTGGGTATCGTGGAAAAGCATGACGCAACCGAAGGGAATGGGAGACCTAGGTTTTAAAGATTTTGAACTCTTCAATATGGCGATGTTGGCACGACAGGCATGGAGACTGCTCCAAGCACCAGAATCCCTGAGTGCCCGTGTGCTGAAGAGCATATATTTCCCTGGAACCACCATCCTGGAGGCGACTTTGGGCAACCATCCAAGTCAGATATGGCGAGCCATTATCGAAGGCAGGGACACACTTAAACAAGGGCTCATCCGCCGAATTGGTAATGGTCAATCTACTCGCATTTGGGAGGACCCGTGGCTGCCAAGAGATGAGATGCTACGACCATATGGGAGCATTCACCCTAATCCACCGATCATAGTTGCGGAGCTCATCGACCACACAAGCGCTACATGGAATAGTCAGCTAATCAACCAAGTGTTCATGCCTATGGATGCAAGCATCATTTTGGGGATCCCAGTGTGCACTCGCAACCTTCAGGATTTTTGGAGCTGGAATTTTGAAACAAGTGGAAACTTCACTGTCAAATCAGCTTATCGTATGCTAGTAGCAACGAGACAGAGACGGGAGGCATGGCTTGAAGGTACGGCTGGTACCTCAAATACTGCAGTCGAGGAAGGAGCATGGAAAACATTGTGGAGAACCCAGGTTCCGGCAAAGGTGAGGATGTTCCTCTGGCGCTTATCGAAGCATTCTCTGCCTATGAAGGACATCCGGGCTCACCGACACATGGCTGATAATGCTCAATGCGGATTGTGCGGTTCTCCTGACTCATGGAGACATTCTCTGGTAAACTGCACTAGCTCGAGATGTGTGTGGACACTAATTGATGAGGAGCTAGCACAAAGCCTAGTATCGAACACGGAACTAAAGCCACACAGATGCTGGGGAGACAAGAGAAGAAGAGAGGCCCATCGCGTGCGTCGGCCCACCTAGATTGTCCAGGTGGCCCTGTCTTGCTAATGCTAAGATCAAGAATGGAAAAAAAAGAGAGCAGCTAGTTGGCCAGGGCTCCTCGGGAGCCTCCGAACAATCACTCGGAGTAGGCTAAGAGCGTGTCACTTGGCGCGCTCTCAGCCGCTGTCACGTGTCGTACTATGGGCATTCATTTCGATTGTTTTCGCACGCGTTTTTAGCTTTTTAAACGATTTTTTCAGGTTTTTTTTACTCGTTGGTTTTTCACCGGTCTTTCTTAGCTTTTGGGAAAAATATTGAAAAAAAATAGTGAAAAAACATGTTTTTTCTGCTTCCATGAGAGACACGGTTTTGCTTTCGCGAGAGGCACGATCATGCTTCTCGAAAACAAAAAAACGCATCTTCTATTTTTTTCCTTCCGCCAGAGGTACAGTTTTGCTTCCGCGAGAGGTATGGTTTTGCTTCCTCGAAAGGCACGGCCGTGCCTCTCGAAACGAAAAAAATGTGTTTTTTTTTCAGGAGAGGCACATTTTTGCTTCCGCGAGAGGCGCGATTGTGCTTTCATGAGAGGTACGACTGTGCATCTTTCAAAAAGGGAAAAAACATGCTCCCTGTTCGGCTTTTCGTCCGAGTTTTTTGACCGGTTTTTTTGTGAAAAAAAGTTCGTCAAAACCTATCAACATGGGATCTATTTTTGAAGATCTCGACGTGAAGAATCCGCTGATGAAAACGATTCGAGATTAAAACACATGGTTTAAAAGATGAAACATTTTGAATAAACGGATGTACGAAAAAAGGAAAAACTCCTCAATCAGTGATTTCGACGGAACAACCACCCCTCAAAAAAAAAAAGAACGGACAACCAACCAGGCCCACGGTAAAATATCCATTCACCTGCTGCGGCCGGGAGTCCACGAGGTGGGCAGCTGGTAGGGGACCTTCTATATGCCGCTCTTTGCAGCAAATAGTCGGTCAATCGCACAGGGGGCAGTCTACTTGGGGTCGGCCCATTGTGATGCGCAGCGGAACAAGGGTATCGCAAAAAATGGTTCACGATTTGAACCTGCAGCGACGCGCTCAGGGCCCTTGCGGTAGATATGCATAGCGAAACTAAAAGAACTATGGAACTATCAACCTTAAATCTTCTTCAAGAAATGATGAACAATTCTTTAAACTTATGAACAATTCTTCGAATATTCTCAAATCATGAATTTGTTTTGAAATTCCCGCACTTTTTCCAGAAACATGAACATTTTTAAATTTTTGAACAAAATCTAAAAAGGGGGAATAAATTTTTGACAGAAACAATATTGAAAGCACGAACACTTTTAAATTTTAAGAACAAATTTTAAATGAAGAACAATTTTGAAATATCTGAGAGTTGCAAACATTTCATGAATATGAAAACAAACTTTTGAAAACCGGACATTTTTGAAAACTTTGAACATTTTTTTGCAAAACATGAACAAAATTCTAAACTACATACAAATTGTTTTTGAAATCCAAACATTTTTTCGAAACAAAAACAAATTGTGAATTTTTTAAGTTTTGTGAAAAAATTGGAAACTAAAACAAAATTTTGAAAGCACGAACATTTTTAAAATTTAAGAACCAATTTTGAAACGAAGAACAATTTTGAAAACCTCGAACAACTTTGGAAACGCGAACATTTTTTGGATATATGTACTTCCAGAAAAATGGAACATTTTTTGAAACTTTGAACATTTTTTGCCAAACATTTTCTTAAATGCAAAAATAATATGGAATAGTTTGAACATTTTTGAAAATTTGTAAAATTCTGAAAATAAATCTTGGAAAAAGAGAAGAAAAATTAAAAAAAAAGAGAAGAAGAAAAAAGAAAAAGAAATAGAAAAAAGAAAGTGAACCTCCTAGAAAGTTCCCAAAACCGAAAAAAAAGGCTGAGAACCATCAAGAAGGTTCCCAAGACCGGAATCTTTGAAACATTTCATGGCCGGCCAACCCCCGCAAGAGACGATCATGGCACATCAACACTGTTCTCCTGTGCATCTGAAAATAACAACAACAAAAAAACTATTCTCCTCCCTGTGCTGCAATTTTTTTACTTTCAATTTGCGCCAGCCGGGTCTTGAACTCATGACTTCTTGGCTCCAATACCATGTAGAATTGCATGCACCAGCTAGTTCACTCAAAAGCTTAAGATGGTGGGAAAAGGTGGGCTATGCATTTATACGTCAACATCCTGTGTACACAATGACACTACTCTCCAGTGTACACGGGCTCCCTCTTCTCAGCGAATGCAGCCAGGCACTCGAGGCGATCCTGCGTGTGCAGCAGCTGCTCGTAGCATTCCCCTTCGACAGCCAAAGCGGAGCGCATGTCTGCTACCTCCATCCCTTGGTCGATGGCCTTCTTGGCCATTCTTACCCCCAGAGGGCCCTGCCACAAAGAATCGGCTTCAGAACACCTAAAACGATGGATCTTATACATAGCCATGTTGCATGGCATACAAAATGATCGAGCACAACTCTACCCGCATGATATGCTTACACTGAATTTTGGGCTTCATATACTGAAACGGAAGCATGCTCTCGCTGATAATATTTTCTATGAATGTTCAAAACTGAAAATGGTCCTTACTTTCTTCGTTATCTCACGGGCGAGTTCAAGAGCTTTGCCGTAGGCCTCCCCTGCTGGAACGCAGTAGTTTGCTAATCCTGCAGTGCAGACATTCATTTTTTATTGTTCTTTCAAGAACTGATGATGGTGGAAGGAAAACACGACGAGGCTGTTGTTACCCATCAAGACAGCTTCAGTTGCGTCGCATCTGCGGCCTGTGAATATCAGCTCCTTCGCTCTGGACTTTCCGATGATCCTTGGAAGACGCTGCGTACCCCCGGCTCTGCATATTACAGCAAGCAAAGGGAGGTTATCCACTGACTGAAGAACATTATTTAAGCTAGTTTTGGAGGAAGGTTTCTATTAGTTTTGGTAAAAGAAAGCAGATATACTTACGGCAGTTAAATGCATGCAACCATTTTCATCAGAATTACAGGTGCCGGCTTTGATTCCACTAGAAAATTAATTTGGTACGCGTGCCTTGTCATTAAGATAGCAACTGATATTATTAAGGATTGTCCTGTTATTTAAATTATTCCAATATGCAGGTAAGTATGAAAAATAAAATTCAAGACCCCTTATCAGAGGCGGATTCCTAATTCCAAAGCAGGTAGGAGGCAGGACTCTTCTTTCTGAATCCTAACAAGATTCGATTAGAGTCGCGTTCCTCAGCAAAGCACGAACGATTCAAAGGAGAAAAGCATATCACTTTCAGGGCATCTTTGTAACTTTTCAACTGATTAATTGCCGAAAGCAGAGCATTGTGTGTCTGTTGGCCACTTGGCCACATACCCAGGAATAATAGCAAGGCCTGTCTCTGGCAGTCCAAGGGTTGCATTTTCTCCTGCGAATCAGTAGGAAGACATGCATTCAAACATTTAAAGAACTGTAGCAAGATTATGTTCCATAAGGTGAAAATGTTTAGCATATACTGAATATTAAAGGCAGCACCACATATACGCAGATCACATGACAGAGCAAGTTCTAGCCCACCACCCAAAGCAGCTCCTTCAATGACGGCGATTGTTGGAATGGAGAGTGCCTGTTCAAACAAGCCGCATGATGTAAGAACAACTTAACATATAGTACAACCAATGACAAATGATAAGAGGGATGAGTCATGCCCATAATTTGAATATAATGTACTCCCTCCAATCCATATTTATCTCGCTGGTTAAATGTGTAATCATTATTTATGTTGCTGATATACAATTATATGTGGAGGCAAAAGAGCATGCTTAAGGTATGGATCCAGGTATGAACCTCAAAGTACGAGAATGTAGACCTTAAGGAATTAGCATATTCTTTAACCTGTGAAGAGCTCATGTGCCTCCTTTCCTGAGTAAAGAAATGCTCTAAGATATTATCCATGTGAAATATATGCAACAAACATATACTGCAGAAGTACAAATTACACAATCCGAGTGTTAACACAAAACATTCGTCATAGTATAGTACAGTAAAGAACAAAGTTGATGTTTCAAATTCTTTAACTGATCCGAATAACAAAACTCATGTGACACTCGCAAGTAATAGCGTGCTAGTTATGATAGGTCAAATAATTGGTTGAGCAATCAATACTCAACTGTCCTGCGCAACGATGAAATCTCATCAACTGCTACTCAACTGATTAGGTTAGGGCCGTGCTGAAAATGCCTCTAATCATGCATATGATAATTCATAGCTGCTCCTCTTTAAGCCACACCGTCGACTAGTCATTGACCCCACTACCTTTATGTCCTTCCTAGCAAAGTAGCAAGGATTATCTTTCTTGTCTCGTACTTAGATATCCTTCTAGATGCCAGCTCGTTTCATATTTTCTCCCAGCCACGAGTCTCTGTTTTTGACAACCCACCATACTAGAGCATCTTCAATTTCTTCGTGACATAGATTTTGAATATTTATATTCCTTTTCAGCTATACACATCACCAGTCCATTTCTCCGAAAACTTTACGCAAGAGCCGCTAGTGAATTTTATCATCCGGTGTTCTCTCATGTATCGTACTCAGACATGAACACTCACACAATCCCCTGTGGTGTCAGTCTAAAATAACCACTGCATCACCAGGCTGAGCAAGAACAGACCTTGAGATCGGCGCCTGCGCAGAAGACTCCCGGTACGGAGCTCGCAACAAGGACAACCTTGGCCGTCGCGTCGGCCTCAATCTTGTGGATCGCGCCCCGCAGCCTTGTCATCAACTCCCAACTGATGGCGTTCTTCACCTCTGGCCGCTGCAGCGTCAGCTCCAGGACCCCTGCTCCCAAACAGGATTAGGGCCACCAGAAGTGGAGACTTTAGGTCAATTTGTCTCAGAGGGGGTG